GGTGTTAAGAAATCTGCCAAACAATTATTTAGTCTTCTTAGCTGACATGTCAATAGGTATTATTGTCTCTTTCACAGATGAGAAAACTGATATCGAAAGTGTTTAAGTAAGGAAGAGCATAAATTTAAGAGCTGAAGTTTAAATCTAAAGTGACACAGAATTGGGGTTTTAACTCTTCCTGCATTCTGGCATAAATCATCCTTGCATACTTGGCAGAAGCCTTGGTAAATGTCACTGGTCAGAATAGTGTATAACTGAACAGAAACAACCAGCAATTAATTAGAATCAGAGGAAGGAACTCATGTCTATCTGATTAAGCTATTATTCATTTAGGTTACTAGGACCAAGATGATTGTCCAAAGAAAAGGACACCAAACCAAGTAATTAGACTAAGAAGGCAGTCAGGAACCTTTGACTATGTTGCAGTTAGAAACAAATTAAGTTCATGGGAAGGAAGGATTCCAGAATCAGGCCAACTTAAAGAACATTATACTTTAGGTTGACACAAGGTAATGAAGTCCACTCTAATCACTGGTCTTGTACTGGAGAGTACTTGCCATATCAGGTGTTTTCCTTTCCTCAAACTGACCTTAGAAAGGCAGGTTAGACCTTATGTATTTGATGTACTTATTTCCATGCGGGGACTTGATTCAAAATCCCCATACTCCAAGCATGGCTTCCCTGATGACTCAACAGTAAAGAATCTGCCTGCAATGCAGGAGATATGAGTTCAATTCCTGGGTTGCGAATATCCCCTGGAGAAGAAAATGGCAACCCACTCTAGCATTTTTGCCTGGGAAATTTCATGGACAGAGGACCCTGGCAGGCTACAAACCATGGGGCCACAAAAGAGTTGGACACAACCGAGCGACTAAACAATAAGCAATCCAAGTATAACTTTGGACTGAGATAGATCAGATTTCATTAGATCTTTGTTCCTACTGAACAAGTAATTTACACTTTAAAGGTTTCATTTTCCTCCTTTGTAAAGTAGGAAAAATAAAATCACTTCATATGATTATTGTGAAAATCAACATAATATTTGCAAAAATATTTTACAGCGTTCTCAGCACATAGCATATATTCAATTCCATTTATTCCTCTTTTTCCTCTCTCCTCTCTAGCCTCATGCACTCCCCATGCCCCATTTAAGAGGGTGAGAGACCTGGAAATCTGAGAGTTGACCACTTGGTCACTATAGTGTCTCTACCAAACTTCCAGCCCTCTTCCTGAGCACCTGCTTTCTCTACACACACTTTTCCCTACAGCTAAATTAATTAATATATTTGACATTAATTAATATTTTGACATCTATTAGGTTAATTTCTGCTTATATATCCTTAGAAAACTATATACTAGAGGGGGTAGCCATTCCCTCCTCTAGGTGATCTTCCTGATGCAGAGATCAAACCCAGGTCTCCTGCATTGCAGGCAGATTCTTTCACTGTCTGAGCCGCTGGGAAGCCCACATACAGTGTCAAACTATTTCAAATGTTATTTTTTTTTATATAAGCAAATTCGACTGCAATTTTCATAACAAGCAAAAGACGTCACAAAGAGTTAAATGATGCAATTGGAGAAGGAAAGCAGAAAAAAAAAAGATCAAAATGCTTTATCCAATTTAAAAATAAGTCCAAGTTTTCTTTATAGACAGAGTAAGATCAAGTCACTCCTCTATCGAAAATCCCCAGTGACCTCCTACCTTAATCAAGGTAGAATCCAGTATCTTTACTATGGCTTAAAAGCCCCAAATGACCTGGCCTCCAACACTGTTTTGCAACACATATATGCAGGCTTCTGACAACAGGGCAATAGCACTTACTCTTATAACTCCTAAAGGCTGTAACATCTTTTAGATCTCTACCGAGCAGGCCTGCTCATCCACTTTTATTAGGACTTTGCTCAAATATGTCTTGATCAGAGGAGCCTCATCAGCTGACTCTATTTAAAATAGGATATTTAGTTCACTCTTTGCCTACCCTGCTTTATTATTTGCTGTTATAATCATCCTAAGACAAAATATTATATGTAAGTTAGTTTATGTTCTGTTCGCCTCATGACTTTTTTGTTCACTGCTATATGCTCAATACCTGGAACAGTCCTTAGCACACAGTAGGTGCTCTGTCAGTATGTAATTAATCAGTGAATATTGAATTCATAAACATAGAACTGAGAATCTAAGCAGAGTACACTAAGTTCTCGTAAGAAATGTTAATGTTAAAAAATAAGTTTCTTTTGAACAATGTTAAAATCTAAAATAAAATAAAACATAGCTTATACATGAAAAGTCATGACAGAGAAGGACAAGAATTACAAAGTAGCTTAACATAAGGTGATGGCTTTATATCAATATGTATGTATATGTATAGCTGAATTACTTCGCTGTACACTTGAAACTAACACAACATTCTAAATCAACTATACTCCAACATAAAATGAAAAATTAAATTAAAAAAGAAATTAACTTAATCCATCACAAACTTCCTGGATTCTAATTATTTAAAACCTTACAAAGTGCTGCTTTGTGAAGAGAAATACACAAAACAATATGATTAACTCGTATCTGATAAAGGAGGCTCAATATTAATGTTACAAGTTTTATGTTATTGCATTAAATTTGCTTAAAGAAATAATAAAAATAATTTTTAACAACTTAAAGTGGGATTCAAAGGTGTAACATTTTGCACATCCAAAAAAATATTATAGAGCCAATAATGAAGAGATATGCACTAGAATACATATATAATCTAAATAACATGACATAAAAAGATACCACACAGTGGAAACTCAGTGGAATTCAGTGGAAAAGGGACATTTTGAACTCATTCCTTTTAGTATTTGACACATTAAATAAGGAAATGGGGGAAATGAAGAATGATTAATGAACATATCCCAAACTCTTCTTTCCACAAATAGGACAGTATAAATGATCAATAAATCACAAAGAAATCTCAATAGTTTGTACTAGAAATGAAAGTAGGAAGTATAGTGAAAGTTGAAAAAAAAAAAAAAGGCCAATACTTATGACATATAACAACTAGGTATTATCTTCGTGCTGCCCTGTAACATCCTAGACAGGATTTTCAGCCTCTTTCATGAGTAGACCACCAAATAAGAACACCCACAAAATGTTTCTTGTGGAGGAACTTCCCAGAGTGCATGGGTGGGTCTGATATTGCACAAGTCTATCCATACCCCTAGCTTTCTCATTGTATCAGCTACTACCATACTTCTCTCAGGTAGCGCTACTGGTAAAGAACCCGCCTACCAATGCAGGAAATACAAAAGACACAGTTTGATCCCTGGGCGGGGGAAGATCCCTGAAGGAGGGCATGGCAACCCACTCCAGTATTCTTGCCTGGAGAATCCCATGGACAGAAGAGCCTGGTGGTCCACAGTCCATAGAGTTGCACAGAGTCAGACACGACTGAAGCAACTTAGCATACAACATACATCTCACTTCTTGGAGTTTCAAATCTTTCCCCTCTGTTAGGCAGAGGAGCTTATCTCTTCCTCAGGGGACTGGAGGATTTAGGTGCTAATCTAAGCACTTAGTCATAGTTTATTTTTCCCAACCAAGTCGTGTTTCAATTTAAGAGGCAATCTGGTGCCATCTGTTAAACACTTTTTCCACTGTCTTATTACCAACAGAGATTGAGGACATTAAAACAAGCCAAGAAGAATTAAAATGGTTTCCTCCCACTCTGTTGCCTATATGATAATAGATTTGGCCAACCATGTGCTTAGGCCATTTGGACTTCCAGATCTTGGTGCTTCTTGCCCCTTAATTCAACAAAATCAGTGTGGTGTGAAAACAATCTTGGCTAGGGAGGTAGTGAAGATCACAGGCTTTAGAGTTGGGGTTTTGGTTTTGAGACTTAGCTGTATGACCTCATACAAGTTACTAATTTGTCTGAATCTCATTTTCCTTGCCTGGTATAAAGAAGGAATCAATATACAACTTGTACAGATGTTTATGAATTAAATAATAGGCTCATACACCATTTTTTTTTCACAATGTCTCCCTTTTTATGCAAAATGGGGCCTGATAGGAATCTGTGTGAGAAATGCAGACATGCTGGCCAAAACTGAGACCCACAGGATCAGAGACTGCATTTTACCAAGACCCTCGGGTGATTCTTATGTCCACAGAAGTTTGCAAAGAACTGATCTGGTCAATAACATATGGGAAAAGAGAACAATTTCTTAAGAAAATTACCTGTTGATTTTCTCATATGTTAACATTTTATATGTGTTTTTCTCCTATGCTATTCAATACCTTGTTTTTTTTTTAACTAGGCAAACTTGGGAATTTCAATTCCTTCTTTAAAGACTTTCATTCATATTGAAAATATTAATAATAAATCAAATAGAAGAAAAGCCAGCCTATTCTTTTCATGGCCTTTGTACAGCCCTAGTTTTTTACCCAGGCAACCTCTAGTTTCGGGAAAATGTACATATTGTCAAAAGCCACGAGACAGGGACAAGGATTAACACTGAAATCTGCAGAAAAAGTTATGTCTGCTCGCAGTTCTGTGACACTTCACCAAGCTTTTCTAGAACACTCTTCTCAAGCTCTAAAAATACAGATTAATACGTTAACTTGTAAGTCTGTGAAAACCAAATGATTGTTATACAGAAAAGTTCCTAGTACAATGCCCAGTGTATAATCAGTGCTTAAAAAAATGTTAGTCATTTCCCTTCCTGTTTACACTTACTCTATTGTATTTATCTTTTAATTGTCTATATTCCACATTAGGTTGTGAACATCAGAGGGATGAAATTTATTTTTTTAGATATCTGTGTCATACATATCTTCATACATACCTTTAACATACACACATACATACATATGTCATACATACCTTCAACATAATTTACCTATTACAGATAATACAAAATTTCTATGTTTAGCTCTTTTTAGTACATTTAGGTAAACCAGGACCAATGACTGAGTGAAAGATTTATTTATTGAATTATTAGACAAATAATTGTGCAGCAAAATTAGGTGTCAGAAACTAAAACAGACATTGGATACAAAAACAATGATAAGCAAAACCCCCACTTCTAGTTTAAAAAGGGATGATATTTATATCCCTCATATATTATCTCAACCAGAATGCAAAATTAAATTGTGATAAGTGCTGTAAAAGACGCACATGGTACTCTAAGAACATACTGAAAGAAAGTGAAAGTCGATCAGTCGGTCCGACTCTGCGACCCCAGGGATCGAACCCAGGCCTCCCACATTGCAGGTGGATTCTTTGCCAGCTGAGCCACAGGGGAAACATAAGAATGTAGTAGGTGAGATAAAAGTTAGAATAAGAACCGCTCAGCAAGATTGTCTTCTTGGCATATTTTCCATTGGTCTGGTATGTCACTATATTCTACCAATGTCCTTTTCATTTTTTTGGAATTTCTCTTAGCTTAGAAAATGTCCTGAGGCATTGCTTCCCGAAGACCATTGTTCAAATGAACCTTTTGTAAGATGTTTACGTGTAGAGAGATGAATAGGGCCGCCAGTGTCTTCTTCTTCAGCCCTCTTAACAAATTGGTATTGATTATCCTGTCAGAATAGTTCACATACTGCCACTCCGGGAAGACAAGTGAGTCATAGAACAGCTGCGTTCAGCGACATTCGTGACATAATGGAGGTAGATGGGGGACACTCCGAGCTCACCCAGCTAAGGAGACAGGGTGAGCCCAGTGAGGCCATCAAACTTTCCATAAGAGGACACAGGTTTCATCCCATTGTGGCGTGATGATGTCAAAAGAAAACACTTATCGTACATTTTTTTTTCTACTGGAATTTTACTTAAATTATCTCCAGATGATAACCATGGCCCGCTGCATCGGGAATCCCCCTGTATGCCAACACTAAATTCGCGATTCTGTTTGCGGTCTACCAACGAGGAAGAGGGGTGAGTGGCACTCAGTGAGTCAAGCAATGAATTCACAGGACGCTCGGGCTGAGTAGTAACGGGCTGAGGGGTGAAGCCAGGCCTTCTCGCGCTCCCCTAATTGATGCCCTACCTGTTCCTGTAGTAGTACTGCTGGGCTAAACTCTTCGACCGGGCTTGCAGCCCGGCTAACGTGGCCATAGCCTCGGCTCGCCAGCTGCCCCTCCGGCGTGACTCTCGGTCTCCTAGGCAACCGGGCTAAACCATTCCACCGACCCCGGGGATTCAACTTTCGTTGACTTCACATTTCCCCCCAAACACACACTCTTTCAGCTTCCGGAACAGCAGAAAGAAAAACTAAGAAACTTTGCTTATTAAATATTTCAAATTATTGACCCCTCTCCCTTCTATGAGCAATAAAGAGGAGATTTTCAGAGAAAGAAGCGGTGGAGGGGGGGAGGAGAACTAATGGTTGCTCCCAGCTTCCGGTTTCCGCTTGCTGTCGGCTTCCGGAAGCTCAGCTCAAAATGCTGAACTGCTACTGGGAAGTCGCTGGTGGTGCGGTAGTTGGAGTCTGTTCTCGGGCCTGAGCCTCGAGGCCAGGCTCTTGGGTGTCGTTAATGTTCGGGGCCGCCGGGCGCCAACCGATCGGAGCTCCAGCCGCCGGGAACAGCTGGTGAGGCTGGCCGCCCTGGGGATGGGAGATCCGGAAAGGGTGTGATGGCCGGGGGCCGCTGGACCTGGAATGGAAGGGGGAGGGAGTTGTGATGGATGATCTGAAGACCTTTAGGCCTTGCTCTCTTTTCGTTCCTGGGATGGACGCAGTTTAAGGAAGGCGTGGAAGTGTGTGCTAAAGATTTGCGAAGGAGTACAGTCAATGCTTGCTGATTGCTTGTCTACTGCACCACAATAATGTAGAAGGAAAGCTTTCTGTACGCCCGGAGCAATTCATTTCTTCGTTGACTGTTGACAAGACGAGGATTACAGAAGAATCTATCTTACTATAGGCATTGTTTCCTCATTTTCCTTTTTAAATTTGCAAGATTGTACCAGGTGTTTTCGAAGATCAATTCCCAGAAATCTAGACTTCTGGAAGTTTAGAAGTGGAGGAGACTTTGCCTTCTTACCCCCTTTTTTTGGAGTAGGCGTAACCTACCAGTTTCTGTCCCTTGAACGTTCCATTCTAGTTCAAATGAGATGTGCATGGGATGTCCCCTGAGAACTTACAATGTCAGGGTTAAATTTAGGATTTGACTGCAGTGTTATACCGCTAAACCACTTTAGAATAATAAACTGCTTTGACTTGGCAAAGTTCTTTCACAAATTACTACGTTTTATCTTTATGAGGGCCCTATGATAGGAGATTATCAGGAGATAGGATAGGAGATTAACAGAATATTTAAGGGACTTGTTCAGTGTTGCCATGCAGCCTTTAGCCCTAGAGCTGGAAGCTGGGTTTTGGATTTCTACTTGAAAACTATTTCTACTCCTGTTTTTCTCACAAGACATTTTCCTCCAAGTATACCCAAGACGAGCAGTGAAACAAACAAAATTTCCACTGACATTCTCAAACATAAAGTTGAACAACAGGTGAAATGCAGCTGAAATGTGTCAGTCCATTCCTAGATTCCACATTAAATGAGAATCTGAGGGATTCTAGTAGTCAGTGATCGCCAAGAATTTCTTTTGCATCACCTATCATTGAATAAAGAATGTCTTGCTTGGAATGTTTTGAATGAGATCAGATCATTCTGTAGTTCTTTTTATAATGAACAGACTTGGTTACACTCTTTTGAAAATTTTTTTTTAGTTGAAATATAGTTAATTTACAATATTGTATTAGTTTTAGGTGTTCAGCACTGTGATTCAATATTTTTACAGATTGTACTCCATTAAACATTATTACAAAATAATGGAGATGGGGCAAATTAGGGGTATGAGGTTGAAATACAAGCTACTATGTACACAATAGATAAGCAACAAGGATACAAGGTATAGCACAGGATTATAGTCATTATCTTGGTTATGCTCCTTTTAAATACATTTTCCTGTGAGAAAAATAAGGAGCACGTTTTTTAAATGAGCATTTTATTTTAATGGTAATTAGCATAAAATAAAACACATAGTTCTTAAGTGTTTAGTATTTTTAGTTTTGGCAGTTGTATATGCTGTGTAACCACAACACAAAGCAAGATATAGGACATTTCCGTCATCCCAAGCACGCGTCCCTCTCCAGATTACCTTTCTTAATGTTTCAGCATCTTTTTAAGAGGGGGAGACAAAATGTGCCCTGTAGATTGGTCTGCTCTTGCTGTAGTGATACTGATTTGTAGGATAGATGACAATTTAGTGGAAAAATATGATTTTTTAAACTCCTCTTCCTTCTTCTATCCAAATCATGGTTAGGTACCTCTTTATAAGGGAAGATCCTTTGGAGTAGGAAATGACAACCCACTCCAGTATTTTTGCCTGAAAAATTCCATGGACAGAGGAGCCTGGGGGGCTGTAGTCCCAAGGGGTCACCAAGAGTCAGACATGACTGAACACACACACACACCCTTTTTGTAATATAGAGAACCTTCTTTCAGTTCTCTAATTTACTTGAGATGGAATACATCCTTTCTTATGGCATTGGAGTATAACATAGTGCCTAGCATGTTATTGGTGTTTTTGAATAAAATTCTTAAATTATGCCTGATTTGACAGAATGAGTGTTCCAGAAATTTAGATCCTGTATTTTCTAGTTTATCTGTGTGACCATCTTGTTATTCAGACTTTCTTAATGGAATTTTCTTTTTCCTTCATTCATCAGACATTGCCTGTACTATACATGTGTGTTTTATCCCAATGAGGAAATCTCAGTGCCAGTCAGGATGCTACTTAGTTGGTGTAGTTAATTGGTGTCAGCTTTTGTGTATACATGTCATCTCATGTATTGGGTTGCCAAGAAGTTTGTTCGGGGGTTTTTTTCTACAGTGTTAGGAAAATCCTGGACAAACTTTTTGGTCAACCCAAAAACCTTTTGAAATAGGTACTGTTATTCTTTGCATTTTAGAGATGGCAAGACAGGAGCAGAGGTTGTTTAAATATTAATAACTTACCCAAGCATCCTATTTGTAGTACTATTCTAGTATATCTGGGCTTCCCTTGTGGCTCAGCTGGTAAAGAATCCACCTACAGTGCAGGAGACCTTAGTTCAATCCCTGGGTTAGGAAGATTCCCCTGGAGAAGGGACACTTCTAGTATATCTAAAAAAAAAATTTCTTAGTTATCCCAGTGTACTGCCTGTGTGTCTGAATGAGATACCTTATCACACGGAATATATAAACTGGAAAGTATATGCACAGATTTGTTAACTAGGCCTGATGTAGTTAACTCCCACCTTGACTTCAACCTTTTCTCCAGTGTCTAGGTTAGTTTTTCAATTTTCAGGCACCACGTGGGTAAGTGTAGAGGATTTCTCTCTTTCTTAATCTTTTGTTAAAAAGTAGAACTGATATTTTATAAGTTAAAAGCCTAAGGGAGAAAAGCTTTATACAGTTAAAAAAAATCCCATGATTATTGTGTGTGTCAGGATATATGTTTTTTGTACAAGTTATTCTTGTAAGTCTTGATAGTTCATATTTTTATAAAATCTTTATAGCTGAAAGTGTCTGTCTGCCCTTCCTGCCACCTCATACACATTTTTGAAAGTAGGGTCGAAGAGTGAACTAAGTCAGAAAGAGAAAGACAGATGTTGTATATTAATGCACACATATGGAATCTAGAAAGATGGTACTGATGGACGTATTTGCAGGGCAGCAGTGGAGACGCAGACATGGAGAACAGACTTGAGGACACAGTGGGGGAAGGAGAAGGTGGGATGAACTGAGAGAATAGCATGGAAACATATACATCACCGTATATAAAACAGATAGCTGGGGGGAGCTGCTATGTGACCCTGGGAGCTCTCACCCCAGTGCTCCGTGACAGCCTAGAGGGGTGGGATGGAAAGGGAGGTGAGAGGGCTTAGGAGGGAGGAGACATATGTATACCTGTTGCTGATTCATGTTGTTTTATGGCCGAAATCACAATATTGTAAAGCAATTATCCTCCAATAAAAAAAAAAAAAGAACGTAAGGTCTAAAAAGTATCTCTTGGTACTTAAAACGTTAACCTGCCTTTTCAAAATTGATTTATTTAATGAACAAATCACATTTAGAATTTTACATGCAGTTACTACTTTTTACTTTATTAGTCATTTTTATTTAAAGTCAACTTTTGAGCTTTTGGGAAAGATTTTAAAGCTTGAACTCAACAAATTTTTCAAGTTAATTATTGATAATGTAATTATCAAATCATTATTGATGTATGAAGCTACAGTATCTGTTAGTTTCACTTTATGTGTCTGCTTTAAAAATAGCCATGACAAATAAACTATATTGATTCTGGACCTTTTCTGCTATAATTTCATTTCTATTTGGTATTTTGATTTCTTCAGGTCTGTAAAACTGCGTAGTGAAAACTTTAGGTCTGGAAAACTACTTTTCAATAACTGCTATTTTTTTAATCTGACCGTTTTTTTTTTTATGGTCAGTTTCATACTCTTAGGTTTGTCTCAGTCAGTTTTCCATTTCAATTAGAAATCTGAATTGTCCAAATTTTCAGCGAAGTCATATTTTTCCTTTGTTATTTGTTCGTTCATTTAGTCCTTGATTGATTTGTTCACCTAGCTGTTTAGTCGCTTAGTCTTGTGTGACTGTTTGTGACCCCGTGGACTGTAGTCTGCCAGACCCCTCTGTCCTTGTGATTTCCTAGGCAAGAATTATGGAGTGGGTTGTCATTTCCTCCTCCAGGGAGGGGATCTTCCCAACCCAGGGATCAAACCCAGGTCTCCTGCATAGGCAGGCGGATTCTTTACCTAGACTTTTTTTTAAAACATCTGTCAAGCATTATTTTAGGTACTTGTAATTAATATTCAGTGGTCTTCATTCTCATTCCTATTCTAAGAATTCAGAATATGTTATAAACTCAAAAGTATT